ACTCAAAGTGAAATTAATTAAACCTTCAGTGAAACTGAAATAATGAAATTAACTTGATACTAATAACAATAAGTCGTTATTCAATGTCCAGACCTACTGAATTATATAACTATATAAGACTAATTGTAATACTAATAACACTACAACGGTAGGCTTCTAAATTCTAGTTGAAGTTATAGTACTTCTAAATTCTAGCCTAAGCTACAATTTACAGTATCAGCTTCTCAAATTTAAACAAGGTTATTCAGAGCATATATTCCCACTTTTTCTTAAAATCAAATACCTTAACTTGGGCAAAAAACACACAGGCTACAAGAAATACGTGTAACTGATATAAACTTATCAAATGCTACATTCTTAAACTTAAACTTTAAAGCAAACAAATATTAAGTCAATTGTACTAGCAACAACACAAAACGTTTAAGGATGTATAAATCGTACTCACTATTTAGTTTGTTTATTGTTCCTCACGTTACCTAGTGTAGAAAACAAAAACTTACATTTATCTCCACGATTTAAAATAATTTAATTTTCATCTGAAACCAGTGGAAACAGTGAAAGAATAAAGTTTGTAAATTCATAGTAAATTCATCGCCAGTATCTCTTACAATTTTTAATGCCAATATTCCCTGCTGTATTTCAAAGAAAAATGTAAGTGCTTACAGCATGGCCCATGTATTCAAGTGATGGTCTTGCATGCAAGGTAATGCATTTTGGTTATGAAAATTTCAATCACATATTTAATATAGATGGAAACCCACTCAACTGCATGACTGACAAAAAGAATCTTAGCACAATGGTGGTGAAGTCACCCAAGTCATTAAAGTAGTACTGTTTTGGTGGTAGTAAATCCAATAGAATTTCAGGGTGTATTAATAGATATATTATTTATAAATGAAAAGAGGTAATTATTTCTATCCAAATTACTAGTAAGGCCTCACTTGGAATACTGTGTACACTATTGATCTCCTCATGTAAGAAAGGATACTGAATTACTGAAAAGGGTTCAGAGGAGGAGTACTAAAATTATTCCAGAGATTAAAGGATTATATTATTTATTTTCTGTTGACAAAAGAAAAATAAGAGGTGATGTTTACAAGACTATCTGAAGAATGGATAGGATAAAGACCTCTAATTTCTTTGTGTTTTATTCTGAAGATATTAGGATGAAAGAACATTTGTTTAACATTTCCTATAGGCAGGCTAGGTTCCAGTTAAGACCATTTTATTTTTCTAACAGTGTAACTGACATATTAAATGAGTTGTCATTGGTAAAATTTGAGGCTGGCACTTTATACAAACTTAATATGGGTATCAATGACTTCCTTAAAAGTAAGGGGTACATTTGAATTTTTAATTTTCCCAAGGGTGGATAAGCAAGGACAGTTTTGAAGGCTCAAATAGTCCCTTGCTGTGACACTGTCCACAGTTTATGTTACGACTGGACAACCAACATAACACTTTGATCAGCATAAATACGAACTTAATTTTACAATAAAAGATTTCCATTGGAGAAAATAATATTTAATGATACTATACAAATTGTAAGAAAAGATAATTAATACAACTAACAGTTGTGACAATCATGTATGTTCAGACTGATCTAAAGTTGAACAGTAATAGTCTCCTATCTGAACTTCATCATGTAATAATAATATTAGAAAAAAATCATGCATCATACCTGTTGTTTGTAATTTATTTCAGAAACCAGTTGGCCAACAACACTACTTGAGCTTTTTATACTAAGTTTGGAAAACTGCCACAAAGGTACCTGTGCTTCCTTATTTTTGTTACTGAAATAAGCATACTTTTCACCACTTTTTTTGGTCCCTTTGCATTCAGGAAACTTGATAATAAAAATCCTGGATTTAAAAAATTATATAATTGTTATAATTGACTAGTAATAACATTAAAAAACTACATTTTGCATGCTATACTGTTTCTGACTTGTTCACACCAATGGTTCCCAACCTTTTTTCCCCTAATGAAGACTAGCTAATCCTGATATTAAAATTTCAGAGAGCACTTTGCATAGTAACAACTTTTTAAAGTACTTTTAATTACATTGGAAAATAATACACTTAAGTAACTATATTAAAAACAACAACATTTTTTCCAATCATCTTTAGAACCAGCTGAAATCTCCCTGTGGATTAGTGGTTTGGAACAACTGGTTTAGGCTACCAACTTTTAAGAGAATGATTTGGATATCTTAATTTGTACTCATGAATAACTTCTGGTTAGAATGTACTGATTCATCAGTTGAGGGACATTGCTGTTACTTAAATGTTTTGGCCATAATACCAACAAATAATGAGATTTCACTGTTTTAGAATATTAGTTAACCTTAAATCCATATAATAAGCTAACAATGTAATATTATCATAATAATAATAAATATAAATAAATATATTGTATATATTAAACATTTTAAGCAATACTGTCAAATAAAGCTAACATTAAAGAAAGCATAATACTGAAACTTATGAAACTAGTCATTTACTTCATGCACTATTGCAAACATCCTGTACCTTGAGAAGTATGACACCAGGTTGTACTAAACATTAGAAAATATTTCAATTGATCTCAATTAACACTAACAGCACAAACTACAATAAAAACAGGAAAAATCATTACATAAGTTTATTACTAAAAACAGTTTTGTTGAATACAGAAGGATATGAATAAAAATATTGTACTTTCAATTTGATTGCTTTTAAATACTGAACTAGATCACTACATCAAAATGATCAACACCCTACTCTTCTTGTTTATGCACTGATAAAAGTTTAACATATAATTATAAAACAAGGTCAAGAGGAAGTAAACCTATTAACCTTTTTTTTTTTCTAAAGGCATTTAAAAACTCTTTATTTAATTTCTGTAGTGCATATTGGTGTATAGAAGATATTTTAATACTAGAAATAAACGACCTTATAACACCATGCTACGTTTTAGTGGAATGTTCCTGAAGAAACTGTAAAGCAAAACACTAAGTGTCCAATTAAACTAAAAAACCAGAAAAAAAAATTGGTGTTATAAAATCGTTTATTTCAAGTACATGTATTTAAAAATTCTTACCAGTCAACATCCTCCCCATTGTCGTCCTTACAACTGAGTGCATTCGATGTTGATAAAAAAATCAATAATAAAAATATCGTCAACATGTTAGAAAACCTGGCCCATGTATCCAAGGTGATGGTCTTACATTCAGTTTTATCCCTACACAGTCTGACCCATGTAATGCTCTTACATACAGTTTTATCCCTAAATCATGTAGGGTTAAACCTGCATGTAAGACCATCACCTGGATACATGGACCAGGCTGTGTAGGGATAAAACTGTATGTAGGAGCATTACATGGGTCAGACTGTGTAGGGATAAAATTGAATGTAAGACCATCACCTGGATACATGGGCCAGATCATGTAGGGTTAAAACTGCATGTAAGACCATCACCTGGATACATGGACCGGGCTGTG